ATCATTTAATCCAACCTCCCTGTCATGGGCAGCGACACCTCTCAACTAGATCAGGCGACACATGGGGACCAAAAGGGGAATGTAAATGAAGAACATGTGGTAACAAAGAATGGAATAATAATGTGTCTGTTGCAAATTTTTTTCTCTACATATGTTCTCAAACCTATTTTTTTCCAACTAATCTGTCTCCATCTTATCTGAGTTTTTTTTATTTAAGATGTGAGAGATGAGGTGATTCTAAATATCAGGTGGAAAGCGAGAGCTCATCCAGAACGAGTCTGCAAAAGCTTTTCATGCCAGCAGCACCTGCTTTGTTGATGCAGGTGGTTCCAGACAGACAGAAGGAACAAGATTTACTTAAACATGCTGAGCTGCAATAAAACTGTAGAATACTTTTTCAGTACAGTAAAAGCCAATTGATTATGCTGTCTTGAAACAAAACAAAATTCCTTGCTCCATCTGAAAGCCTACCGGATATCATGATACTTCAAGTACTTTTCCTCCCCCTTTTTTAATTGTACCCTCAGTTGTGAGAAGTACTTGAATCCTTAAATAATGTCTCAATTTCCCAGTAGGTAGACAAAACCCAGTTTCTCACTTACTGTAAGAATTAAGAAACTGGGTCACTGTTTTTTGAGTTGTTCAACTCTGTTGTGCCCACTAATGTGTTGTAGGACTACCGTGTAGTTGGGCAGCATGTTGATGTCCAGTTGAAGCTGAAACGTAAGAAAGATGGGGCATGAGAGCAAAAGCCAGCGTCTGTAGGTGTGCTACTAAGAGGTTTTCACGTGTGGGACACATGTGAGCACGAGTAGGAATAGGAAGATTAGACTTGCTTCCCTTAGAAGTGTGGGAGCTGCCTTGCTGCACCAGCCTGGCAGGCTGCCGGATCTGAGAGAGCAGCCGCAAACGGGTCACAGGCTTTAGAAAAACTTGCATGAACCTGCTCGTGATTCACAGTGCTCTTACGCTGTCATACGAACGCTTGTGTTCCTTCCTGTTTGCATGGCGTAACCTCTGGCATTGCTGTCTCTCTCAGGCACTTGGGGCGGTTATTTCAGAGCTCAGAGGTGTGTCTGAGCTGTTACCGTGGGCCAGTTTCTTTCAGCAGTGGTTCCCATTGGTATGGTATTGGCGGCTTTTTTTTTTTTTTTTTAATGGGTCCACATTCTCTTGTAATTTTAAATAACCAGGAGCAGCAGAGTCATCTGAAGCAATAACCTCAACTGCCAACTTGGCCGTTTTGCTGTGCAGCTGCTTTGTGATCTCTGCACAGAGAAAGCTTTCTCCTGATGATTGGAAATTGCCTTGCTGGCACTCGAAGTAAAAGTACAACTGAAGGTGGCTCTTGGAGTCCAAAGGTTGCTTGGGAATTGGTTTGGGTTTTATTTTGTAGATGATTCAAGTTTATTCAGCTTTTGAAACTAAAAGCGCTTTCCAATACAGCTGGGCTTTCAGATAGTAGCAGCTGATGGAGTGCTGTGCTTCCAGGTGGTTAGCCTTAAAATCCAGCGTGGGTCATGTCTAGTTGTTTCACCTTGAAAACGCGTGGAAAAACCTGCCTCTGTCTGCTTTTGCCAAAGTGTGGCTCCTACGAGGGTTTTGTAAGACCAGTCAAAGCGGTTTGTCTTGTTTGTGATTGAGAAAGTAGTTCTTTGTGAATAACTTGCTCTTCATTTATACCTACGCCCGGTTTTTCTTTGTCCATTGACCACTCACTGAACCCTGATGGATCTTCATCAGTTGGCTGTGAGTTGCATAGTGGATTAATCAAAAGCTTTATGAAAATACAATTATTTGATACCTTTCTTTTGTTTCTTTCTAAGAAGCTTTGTTCCTTTACAATTTTGAGGCGAGGGATGGGGATAGGAGAAAATTTGTGTATTCCAGATGTTGATAAAAGACTCACAGGTCAGTAAGTCATAGCATCACTCCTGTTTGGGTTTTTTTTTTTGTTTTCCTTATTCAATGAGAGTTTTTATTTTCCCATACTACTGTAGCTGACATATGGACATTACCCACTTTTGTTATGATTTTACTTTTTGCCTTAGCTTACACTGAAAGCTGTACTGGGAAGGCAGGTTTTCCCGTGTTACGCTGTAGGTCTAAATGCAGCCATGTACCGCAACTTGGAAATTACAGCCTCCTCTGGCCACCTGAGGAGTTCCTAGGTCTTCAAATACCCATGTCCAAACTGTGCAAGAAAAAAAACTAACTTGAAAACGAAATTCTGAACTTGTCATTCTTGTTTTCAGAAAGATGAAATACAGCTCATCAGAGCCTCTAAGCATATGCATACTTCATGTATTTTTTGTTTCGTAGAGGATTAAGAGGTGAAGTAGCTCAGATTCTTTTAAGGTGATACATCATGTCCAAATCTTTCTTTTGGCCAAAACGTACTAGTAAACTGAAATGAGTCAAAGCTGAAATATATTTTTCCAGTACTTGAAATATGCCTGTGGTGTATTTGCAGCAGAAACTGTGTAAAGAAGCATGAAAATACAACTGAACTGAAAAGGGCAGGCTGGCTTTGTTTATTTCTTCATGTTAAGAAGAACTAGATGGTGTAAAACAAACCTACTGAAGTTGAACAGTAACTTAATTTTTTAACAGATCTCCACTGTGATCCTGGCACGTGGGTTATTTGTCAGTGCCGAGTTCAGTTGAAGACTCGTGTTGTGAAATGGGAGCTGCAGGGTTATGCCTAATACTGTTCATATTTCTAATTGCTTCAAAACAAAAAGAATTAAACTGTCTCATAATTAGCCATGTTGGATAATAGATTGCGCAATAGTTTGTGGAACTTTGTTGGTTTTAAAGAGTTGATTTTTTTATTTGCTGTTTGTTTAAGCCCTTTAAAAGATTAGCAAGAGTGAACAGCTGTTTTCATGTAGCTGTATATGGTGGCTTCCACTGGTTTTAAGAGTGATGCTATGTGAACACTAAAACTGGAGGTTATCCTTGATGAAAGGATGTATAAATATCATATGAGTTACAATGCTGTCAGCATGATTTATAAACGTCATTCTCTCTTAGGGAGAAGTAACAATAGTAACTGTTGTCGCTTGTGAAGTAATTCTCCTTTGCATCGTGGTAGTAATATGCTGCGTGGCTCTTTGTTTGGTTTAGTGTGATGGGGG